TTGAGTGAGTATTTTGCATTTTAAAACTAAAATATTATGAGAAAGGGAAAAGCAAAAATTTAACAGGGGGTAGTAAAACTCAGAAGTGGCTGAGGGTGCAGGTCAGCATGGGGGCAGCACAGAGATTGTTCCGTCCTTGAAAGGCCCTGGGTTTGATCGTTAGCACCCCAGCCAACCAATCAAACAAGGCTGGACATGAGAGTTACAATTATACATAGGAAGTGGGTAGAAAGAAAGAGGTGGTTGGTCACATAGAATCCAAGGGAAGGACACTGCAATATAATAGACAGAGGAATAGTTCCAGAAAAAGAGTTCCATGGTGGCGAGGAATGCAAAGACCAGGAGGGAGCCCAGTAATCAGGCAGATGAAAAAAGATCCCTCAGGTCATGGACCACCAGACCTGGCACCAAATTCCCTATATTGAGTCTCTAATTTTTTTTTCATTTTTTTATTTATTTTACATTCCAACCACAGTTCCCCCCCAGCTTCCTTCCACCCCCTCACCTGCCCCCTAGGCCAACCCCAGTCCACTTCTCATTGTGGGTAAGGGCTCCTATGAGGAGTCAACATAGTCTGGCATAATAGGTTGGGGCAGAGCCAGGTCCCTCTCCCATGCATTAAGACTGGCATGGCATCCCACTATGGGGAGTGGGCTCCAACAATCTAACTCATGTACCAGGATAATATTGTGGTCCTACTGACACTGAACATGGCATCCTACCCTAAGGAATCCAGTCAAAGAGAGGGAGGAGGGAATATATGAGCAAGGGAGGTTAAGAACCTGATGGAGAATCTACAGAGACAGCTGAACTAACCTCTTGGAAACTCATTAACTTGAGACCTACAATGGAGGAGACTCCAGAGGACTGAACTAGGCCTTCTGTCTGTAGGAGACAGTTGTGAAGCTTGGACTAGCTGAGGGGTCCCTGGCAGTAAGACCACACTACAAACCTGGTACATGAACTAGCTTATTGGAGCCCATTCCTTAGAGTCTCTTTCTATTTTAAATAACTAGAACAATCTCTCTTTCCCTCTTAAACTGGGTCCCATGCAAAATTGTTACCCAGAATCTTGTAGAACTGTACTGAAATTCTCTTTTGTGTTTCTATCTACCTCAGAGAGAGTTCCTCTTTACATTCTGGCTTCTAAACACCCAGAGCCTTTCTGAACAGGTGATTAACACATGATTATCAGCAGCAATTGAGTGCAGCCATTTCTAGACCACTGCCTCTTACAAACAGGAGATAGCTCTGTGGGAGGATATGGCCTTCAAACATGGTTAAAAGTGTGGGGAATAAAGATCCTCCTTGTTGAAGTAATACATTTAGTATTCTAATGAAGTAATTATAAAAGTAAGTAATAATTGAAATCGCTGCATCAACTCCCAGCCATTAAAATCCCCCTAAACAGATCTGGCACTAAGGCTTGGCTATTAGAAACCTTGGCACCCACCCAACGCCTACAATAGCTTCTAATTAATTGATCTCACCTCTAATCTGCTATTGTTAGCTCAGCACCAATCATTTGTTTGGCCCGTGGATCCTATTGCCCCTTCTTTTTGATTGTATTTGTTACTGTACCCTCTCTATCTCTTTCAATTAAGCACAGGTTAAGTGGTTCACCCGCAAGAGAATAGGAGATAATGGCACCAATCAGAGTAATCTCTTTAATTTGCTAAATGGATTACAGGGAAACCCCAGCCAAAGTGAAGTCATAGCTAGTGGCCTTCACTTGAACTATACACAAGAACTATCTAATTATTAACCCACCATAAGCCAAACTTCATTGTGGACAAAGTGCCCACCAGGTGAGTCAGGATCCACAGGATTTCCCACGGGAGACGGGTCTCTGAGACTAAATGCCACTATTGGCTCTGTCCCCAGACTTCTCACTTGCCTTAGCGGTCCAGTGCAACAGACATCTTCACCACCAGCACAGCAGCTGCCAGCATTCGATAGTCAAGAGGGTGGATTTATAGTCCCTTTAAGGACATGCTTGAGCTAGAATTCATTTTTCTCATTTGTACTATAAATGCAAACGCAGTTTCATGGGCACAATGGGCTGGCTTTTGCTGACTCTGAGGAAAATGTATATTTAAGAGTAAACAAGTTTGTCTCTAGCTGGTAAATGATCTTCTTTCCCTCTGTGACCTTGCTAGTTGCTACTCTCTTCTGAACACACACACACATACACACACACACACAAATCACACACACAAACACTCTTATACACACACATGCACCTACTCTTTCTCTCACACACACCTTTACACACTCACTCACACACCTACACACACACACACATACACACAGAGTCTCATGGTGGGATTGAATGCAGGAACACTCCAACCACCAGCATCATGGTTTGCACATGCCCCTTGATGATCAGGCAAGCATGCACAAAGTATAAAATGGACGATTTCTCAGGAGCATAAGATCAAGGAAAAACTGCCACAAAGGAAATGGATATTTAAAAAAACGTTAAAAAATAAACAACCAACCCACAATAAATTGCAAAAGTTGAAGTACTGGACACCACCTTGAATAACTCTTAATACCTGATGTGACTTCTGAGGCCTTTGAGTTTCCCAGCTTTTGGGGTACCTGCTGTTTCTCAGTATCTACTAAATGAAGATGACCCTGGTCTTCACATGGAGGGTTCTTGACAAGAAGGAAATGCAAACTCTGGCAGTCTAGCCATTGAGAAAATGGCAGAAACAGGGAGTTGGGCCCTTCCTTCCCCCAGGCTTTCTCCCCTGAAGCAGGTCACAGCCACTGACTATACCAGTGGAAAAGAGCATCTTTCTTCCTGAAGATGCAGGGACTCTGCGAATCTGAACAAGCAGGCTTCATTCAGCTGCCTGAGGCTACGACCATGAGATCATACCCCACAACTATCCACTTCTTCCTCGGAGTTACAAAAGTGCATGCTGTCTGCAGCTGCTTTCCTCTCTTCACGTTATGAAGAGACCCGTGTTCATAAATCTCATCCTAAATGATCTGCATGTGTGTATCTCATTGACATCTTTTGTTGCAGAGGCCTTAACCTTCTCGTCCTCCCCTTTCAGACACAGGTGACCTAACTCACATGCTCTCCACATCCCTTTATCTAGTCAGTGGGTCCTTTCCACAGTGAGGCTTTTCCTCACAATCTTCACTGTTACAGGTTCTACCTTTTAACCCTGCTGCAACTGGGAATTTTGAGTTCCCAGAATATGAATGTGGGGAAACACCTAGTCTAAATAAAAACACTAGGAATAGAGTGGCACTAAATTAAACAGGAGACAGGCAGTTGTAGAAACTTGGTGTCCATGAGCATTGCTCATCTCACTCTAGACCCCAGGGATACCTGAGGCCCACACACTTTACACTGTTCTCTGGGAGTCACAGTTCGCTGAGATTTGAATGAAACCCTACTGGAGAGATTCATCTCCATTCTGACCCACAGTGGATTATGTATGTATTTTATACAACTTCTGTAACTGAGTAGCTTGCATTTTAATTTTTAAGCAGATACATTACAAAAGAGATTGTACACATTAACGAGCCATCACAATGTTTTAGTACATGAATCTTGTGCAATACTCAAATAAGAGTAAACTTTTTTGCCTCTTCAAAAATTTTCATTTTCCTTTTCAATGAAAATATCCCTAGGCTTTGAAAACAGTCTGTGCAGTTACACACCAGAATTCATTCTTGTCTCTCTGTTCCTATTTATTTAGTTTTCCTCAGCTCTTCCTTCCCCATTCTTAGCTAACCAGTAACTACATCTCACTCCCAACATCTATAAGACGAGCTTTCCTCTGTCTCACATATGGGTGAGATCACATGATACTCGTCTTTCTGTGCCTGGCTTATGTCACTGGCACAGTGATAATCCCCAGATCCATCCCTGTTCTTGCAAACAACAAGACTTCATTCTTTTCTTTGGTGGAAATGCTCCATCACGGTCATGTGCTAAACTATTCATCCTTAACTACTCATCCGTGGATGGCCACTTCTGCTGTTTCCACGGCTGGCTTGCTGTTGTGGATGGAGAGTGCCGCTCTGAACCTAGAAAAACAGACTCCTCTTCACAGGCTGACCCTGTTTCCTTAGGAAAGCCCTAACTAGAGAGACCAGCGAATAATGGGTGGTGTGTTCTTAGTGTTTGTTGAGGAACCTCTCCACTGATTTCCATAGTTGTTCTAATTTACAATCCCACCAATAGTGTGCATGTGTACCCTTCTCTCTATAACCCCCCAGCAATGGTCTCCTTTCTTTTTTATTTTATTTTATTTTATTTCTCACTGAGGGAAGGAGGATCTCACTGTTCTGATGCTGAGTGGTTGGAAATTTCCTGTAAGATCGCTGGCTGTTTGACTACTTTGGAACTGCCAGATCTACTGCTTATGAGTTATTTGGTTTTGATTTCATTCATTCTCTTTGGCTGAGTAGTTTTTGAGTTCTTTGTATATTCGAGACATTAACCCCTTCTCAGATGAGAAGCATCTTACTAATGACTCTGATGGTCTCTGAGCAAATCAGATGATTTTGCAGGACTGAGAGGGTCTGAGACACCACTTCCAAAGTGACAGCTTGGAGACTAACACTGCCTGCCCTCCCCACTGGCCTCCATAGGGTACTAAGCTGAGCCCTTGCCACCTGCCTGTAGTTTTCCCTCTGCACTCCTGCCTAGAAGGTTGAAGCCCTGTGTACACTGTGCAAGTGACTTCACCAGCTCCTCCAGCCTCTCCCCTGAGGTGCGCATCTGACTCTGTCACCATCATTGCTCATCTTGAACAGAGGCACACTCTGATTGCTTCCCGTCACCTTCAGTTATCAGAATATTAATTTCTGTGTGTGTACATTCACTCTCCTGCTCTCCTTGCCTACATGACTTTTCCAGGTCTTAAACAATCTGGAAAAGACGCCCAGGGTTGGATGTGGGGCTTATGTCTCTAGCTGACAAAATGTCTGCCATGCCAGCTGCAGCCAAAATGCACTCTATCTACTGTTGAGTGTTCTTGATTCAATGTGCGTCACAAGCCACTGAGCAGGCACAATGTGGTCTTACTGCACAACCACTGCTGGCAGTCATGGTACCTGCTGCCTTCTGGTGACTGGGAATGGACTTGGGCTATATTACATTAAAAGCTTCCTTTAGATTTTAAATCTTCTTCCTTCTCTCTGCTCTGTTTGAGCAGCACAGCACCTCGATAATGACTTTGACTAGCCCCTACTTACTGAGAGAAGAAAAGCGAAGGTGAGTGGTAATGGAATTTCCTTTCCAGTGAGATCCCTCTGCTTATGTTTTACTCCAGTTTGATCTCTTGTATTCCTGTCCTGCAGAACCAGCCTATCATTTTTTAGGACTTTATGATGTGACTAGGTCTTAAGACTTTTATACCAGTACAGTCCTAAAGCCAGGATGGGAAACATCATATCCTAAACTTTACTTTACAGAGGGGGAAACTGAGTCTTTGATAGGATGCTTGACTTAAAAAAAATCTAACATGTGCCTTTAACTTTGCTATCCTTTCCAGGAAATTTTAATTGAGCCAAAATTTATGATCGATTTGTGATATGCAGGTCATCAAGACTGGGCTTGCAGATTCATTCATAAATAAGATGGGCCTTGACACTGCCCACATAGAGCATCTAAGAAATAGAATGGAGACGGAGCACAAAATTCACATTGAATTTTTAAGATTTTGTAAGAATAACTGTAGTGTGAATTGTCCCTCCACATCTCTGCAAAACCAACCAGCCACAGGTAGAAAATGTTTGGAGAACCCCACACGTGCAACCAAATTGTTTTTGCTTTCTCCTTGTCCTTGCCTTCTAAACTATATAGTACAATAACTTTTGATAGCACACAGGTTGCACTGGGGGTAAGTAGCCTACTAGTGGGGAGGAGTGTGTGGGGACTAGAATAGGTGTGTGGGAACACTGAGCTGTTTAACATAGAGACTGGAATATCCACAGGTTTTGGTGTCTTTGGAGACCCTTAGATCCCATCCTGTGTGGGAAGTGAAGGATGACTATCTACTGTTGGAATTATTTTATCTGCTTAAAAATTTTCCCTCTATTGTGGTGCTATAAAACTTCACATTTTGCCTGTCTGGATAGGTCTCTGGGCTTATATTAATTGAACATATGTGTCCACAGATATATGTCTTTGAGAATATGTTTACTGGTCATCAATGTCCCCAGATATATGTCTCTGAGTATACGTTTGTTGGATACCAATATCCCTGGATATATGTCTCTGAGTGTATGTTTATTGGGTATCAACATTCCTGGATGTATGTCACTGGGTATATGTTTACTGGGCATTGATGTCCCTGGATGTATGTCACTGGGTATATGTTTACTGGGCATTGATGTCCCTGGATGTATGTCACTGGGTATATGTTTACTGGGCATTGATGTCCCTGGATGTATGTCACTGGGTATATGTTTATTGAGCATTCCTGGACTGGAGACTTTCCAAGACTAAAGAGGCTGTGCAAGTCAGGTCCAAGGTGGGCAGCACCCCAGGGTCTCCATGCAGTTCAGTTGCCTGTGCTATGGTGAAAGGCCCGTGGGATTAACAGATGAGCTCCTAAGACCTTGACACCATGCTCAGAGGCTGAAGATGACTTTCTGGGCCCCCGAAAAAGGTCTTCGAAGCTTAGATGCTTGATGCTAGGCTAAAAGCAGAGCCTGGCAGACATGGTGGATGTGAAATATTTGTAACACTGGAGTCAAGTGCTGGCTGGCAAGCGTTTTCCTATTCTAAGGCACTTACAGGGTGATTCATGGGCAATTTGAAGCCATAAGCAGTTTCAGTGATGAAACCCACAAACCAAACGATAGCACATTTCTTATCTTTGCCAGTGAGCACACTTGCCCCTCTGCCTGCTGTCACAAACACTGTCACCTTGAAGGGTGCTATCCCATCACTATCTCTGATGGGCCAAGCTGGTAGACTTCACCCCTAAAAACACTGCGAAGAATGGGCCCATTAGGGGAAGTAGGAGGCGGGCTCTAAGTATGAAAGACTGGAGGAAGAAGCTCAAGTCATTATCAGATTAGGATGGTGAATGTCACTATCACCACAGTGCCCATTATTCGACTTCACAGATCAGTTTTAGAAACTACTGAAGTAACTGCACACACACACACACACACAAAACAAAATAAAAAACAAAACAAACAAACAACAACAACAACAAAACCCTAGGAAAGTTTGAATGAAAGAAAAAAAGTTTACCATGCACAGTAGCTAAAGGCAGGATGTTCACATGGATGTTCCTAAATAAGCTGGTGTCTAGGTATGAAACTGCCAACCAGTGTGTTTCTAAACAAGCATGATTCTGGTTAGGGCTGCCTCGGCTCTGTTTGAGGAATACAAATTGCAAAGGAACAAATTATGATGGGAAGAGATAAAAGATTTTCTCCCACAATTTGGGAAGGAAGATTTCTATTTTCTCAGATCACACAGAACCTGCTACCTCAGACTGGAAGAATTTGAGG